CCACCCACCCAGTGGGAAAGCCTGCTCCCAGCATTTGCAAGTCCCTTTGTCCGTCCCCCCTTCTGCCCAGCTTACTCCCTCCGGTTTGTCTCAAGGTTGGTCTGAGCCTCTCCACCCTCTCCAGAAAGTTGTGCTTGACCCCAGGGGTGAAGGAAGGCCCCACTTGGGCTCTCTGCGCCCTCTTTAACCCTCGATGGGGGCAGCGTCCTTCCATGTCTGGCCACATCCTGGACCAGATGCTCCTGGAGGACAGAGCCCCCTCCACAACCTCCTCCACCCAGCGACCTAGGCCTGAGAACCAGAGGAGTAACAGGATCCCCGAGGCCCCCTGCCCCTCCCTCTGTGCCCTGCCGCCGCTGCCGCCATGAATCAGCAGCTCAGAGGCGGCCAGAGCAGCTTTGCACCTGGGCTGCGGGCTGGTGATCTGCAGCACCCAGGACTGGAGACTAGTCAGTGGGAGCAGCCCGGGGTCACCGGAGCCACAGCCACCTGTGCCCTTCATGCCCTGGGCTGCCTGTGGCACTCCACCTGCCTCCTCCAGGAGGCCCCTAGCTGGCCTTCTTACTCCCTGTGGTGGGGTCCAGGGGTCTGGTCGTCTGGTCGGCTTCCCTAGGTGGCACGTGTCCCAGTTCTCCCATCCCCTACCCCCCACCCAGCCTCGCTTGGTTTCCAGGGGTTCCCCAGAACCTGAGGCCCAGTAGCCATACTGACCAGGCCCCTGGAGGCCTCACTCCCACATGGTCTCCACCCCCAAGGCCCAGGGCAAGGGCACGACTGTCCTTATTGAGGCCAGTGCCTTTCCTCCGTTGAACTGCAGTGCAAGTGTGTCCTGAGAGCAGGTGGTCTCTTTCCCCTTAAAGAAGCTATTCCCCCCCACACACACACACACCCGCTTCACCCAGTTCCAAGCAAGGACAGGCCTTTGCTCCCAGAGACCCCCGATTGTCCCCCAGCAGCCTCCCTGACCACTGAAAGGCAGCACAGGTCTGTATCTGGGCCAGAAGCTGAGCCTGCCCAATGAATTCCTCAGCAAGGCAGCTGGGGTCCATCTGTGGGTGGCCATCCTGCCTTGTCCCTCCTCAGAACCCATTAGCCTGGGTGGAGAACCCAGTCCACCCCACCCCGGTCCCCCTGAGCTCTTGGGGAGCAGGGAGGGTGCTATGCCAGCGATGGCTGCTTGTCCGCCTGGAGACCCAAGGGATGGAGGCAGTGCGGGGTCTGGTGGGGCCAGCCAGCTGGGGATGTGGTGCACAGATCAGCGACCCACTCCAGGCAGTGCGGACAGCCAGGCAGCGGGGCCTGGAGACTTGCGACACGAGCCGAGTGAGAGAGAACCCCTTTATTGTGAAACCCTGGTGCAGGCACTTGACGTTGAGGCCTCTGGAAGGTGGGAGGTCACCACCTCCTGCATAGGGTGCCACCACCCCACAGAGAAGCCCCTCGACGGAGGACCCACACCCCCAACATGTTGAGCAGGTTCGTGTCCAGAGCTTACTAGATCAGCTCCATCCTGGAAGAAGGGAGGATGAGGGTCACCCACAGACCAGAACCCCCGGCTCTCAGTGGCAGGGCCAGGTGGACAGAGGTAGAGCGTGCAGAGCTCTGGGCCAAGGTCCGGAGCCTGAGTCCAAGTCTGAACTGGCGTGTGCCCCCTCCCCCCGCCCCCTCCAGGCTGGAGCCCCCTGTGCCAACCAGCTCTTCACACCTTAGAAGCACCTGCAGCAGCCCCCACAGCCAAGGAGAAAGCGCTGGCTTTTGTCCACTGGATGCCGCCGCCCGCCTGAGCCCCTCGAACGGTACACACAGGATCTCAGCAGCAGCACCACCACCCCTGCACCCCTACAGCAGGCGCTGAGGGAAGGGGAAGTGACAGTGCGGCCACCTCCGTTCAAGCTTCTTGCTGGTCATGGAAGCTGGCCCTCCCCTCAGGCAGCCACGGATTCACACGTGCCTGCACACGCCTTGACACGTAGGTACCAGGAGCACACGTTAGTGCACACGTGCCACACACAGCACAGGTGAACACACGGCTCCAGAATGACTTTCTGATTTGATACCTGGTGGCTGTCCCTACCCTGCCAGCCTCCAGGAAAGACCCCGCCCAGCTTTCAGACTCGGGGCTCCGCATTTTCCAGAGTAGCGCCGTACTTGGGGGCTGAGAAGCTCTGACAACTAAGACCCCCACTTCAGTCTCCAGGGGGCCCTCCAGAGACAGTCCTCTGGGACTCAGGAGATCTGGAGACAGACACACTCCCCAGAGGGACTCCTTATGGCGTCCAGGTGAGGTCCTGAGGGAGACCCAGATTGCTGGGAGGAGGCAGGGGGAGCAAGGCCGCTCTGCCTATACTCCTGCCCCAGCGGCTTGCACACAGGCACACTTCCGTGCGTTCACATGCATACGAGGACTGCCCACAAGGAGCAGTGTGCAGGCGAGGGGTCCCAGGCTAGGGTCGGGCCTGCTGGCCACAGAGGTGCTGGGAGGCACTCCTCGTGGGAATCCGGCAGGCTGAGGGAATCCTGCAGTTCAAGTGGCTGGCCGGCACATTCCCCTCACTGCTCAATATCCAGGCTGCCAGGTGACTGCGGTGGCTCCGGGGGCTTGAAGCTGAGGACCTCCTGGTAGGTGAGCTCTGGGGAGCCAAGGAAAGGGTGAGCTCCTGCGGTCGCTGGTGGCTGGCCCGTCTCCCCTGCCACCCCAGCCCATCACCCCGAGGGCAGCCTCAGCTGCCCGCCCCCCCCTCCTTCTGGAGTCTGCCCTGTGCTGCCCGCCCCCC